GAATTGAACGACGTGTGCTTAAAGAATTACAATTGAATCGTTTTAACAACACAGCATGATCCGACCCCTGAGGAGGATATATGCCGTCGCACAAATACGCAAGAAATTTCAAAAACTTTCTTTGTATCTTTTCTATATGCGAAATATGTACTTGATAGATAGGGTACCAAATAATTGCGGCATATTCTAATCTAGATCTTACTAGAGAAAAATATAAAGTAAGCCTGGACTTACCATTGAAGTACACTTACTCAAGACCCTTTCTGTGAATAGGTTAAGGTCGTTTGGGTAATAAAATTTTATTATAGGATTGGAAAAATACTCCATAGATTTTATGACTTTAAATCCTTACTTCCGTTGATAATGAATTAAAGCTTTTAACCAGATGTTCTTTTTCGGCATTGTGCGGCAAGACCGTTGAAGATTTTCTAGAAAAAAGGGTTATTGTACCCAACTACCTACCTTAAAATTTTTCTAATGGAATCTTTTAAGTAAATGAACCGTTTATTTCACAAGCATCAGTCTATCGCATCTGTCGTAGTACAGTGTTATACGTGGTTCTCCCTTGTTACATGTTGAGTTCTTTTTGGTAATATTACTAATATTTTAAAAGAATGCCGAAAATCGACGCCGGATGAGTGGATAAGGGATTTTCCAGAATTAAAATTAGAAAACAACAAAATATTCTGCAGAGCTTGTGTGAAAACCGTAAGCCCACTAATTTTTTTTTATCTATTTTCCTTTGTTAATCCTGTATATGTACGTTGTTTTAGATTCAAAGTGATAAAAAATATAACATGATGCAACATGTCAAAACGACTCTTCATGTAGAAAGGAAGAAAATGTTTGAAGTTTCTAAAATTAAACAGCAGACCATACATGAATCTGTTGCATTTACATCGACAAAAGGTGAGCTGTTTCAGTTTAATTTCGACTTATGTAAAATGATAATGATGATCCAGTCCAATACACCTTTAAAAAAATTGGAGAAAGGCCCTCTTCAAGAATTCCTTGAAAAACACTGCAATCGACATATTCTGCTTGAAAGTACTCTCCGAAAAAAATATGTAGGCCCAGTGTTTCAGCAAGTTTACAACGAAATTAAACATCGCATTGGAGATAATTATTTATGGTTCGCTGTCGATGAAACAACCGATAGTTGTGGAAGATACGTGGCAAGATTAATTGTTGGAATCTTAAATGAAAATTTCCCTAGTCGAGGGTATGTAGTAAGTTTGAAAATGTTAGATAAAACAAATGGCAATACGATTACCAGATTTGTAAATGACAGTCTTACGTCACTATTTTTGCCAAATGCCGTACCGGCGAATAAAATTTTATTGATGATCTCGGATGCAGCTCGTTATATCTTGAAAACAGGGAATAATCTAAAAATATTGTACCCCAATTTAATTCACTCTACTTGCATTGCCCACGGCTGAAGGAATACGTTTGCAGTTTCCTACTGTTAATAAATTAGTGGCAAATGGTAAAAAGATTTTTGTTAAAGCCTCACTAAGAGTGCAACATTTTAAGGAAAAATTTCCAAACATACCATTGCCTCCAGAGCCGATTATAACGAGGTGGGGAACATGGTTACAGGCCACATTTTATTATCACAAATATATCAAAGAATTTGAGGAAGTAGTTACGGAGTTTAGCGAAGATTCTTCTCAATCGATTAAAGATTGCATACATATTTTGGAAAACAAAGATTTGCGACAAGATCTAGCTTTTCTAAGAAGCAATTATCAATTCGTATGTGAGGTAATAGAAAAGTTAGAAAAAGCCAACATGTTGTTGGTAGATGCCATAAGCTTAGTGAAAGAATTTAAACAACAAGCAAACGCAATAAGGGGTGATATTGGTACTAGAGTATCTCAAAAACTTGACGAAGTGTTAAATAAAAATGCAGGTTTCGGTGTTCTTTCCGACGTTGCTCGTGTTTTACAAGGCCAGTAGGTGGAAAATTTGGAGTTAGATTCAACATTAGTTGCAAAATTCAAATTTGCGCCAACAACGAGTGTGGATGTTAAACGCACATTCTCCAATTTTAAACACATTTTAAATGATCGGCGAAAAAATTTTACAGTGGACAACTTGGAACATATTACAATCATAAATTGTTTTAAAGAAAACTGAAATACGTGTGTAAAATATAAAGTCTAATTGTAATAATATTTTATCCAAAGTTCTAAGAAGTGTTCTTTGATTTGTAATATGATAATGTTTTTAATGCTTTTTTGCTTAAAATAAAACTTTTTTAATGAGAGTGTTATGCTTATTTAATGCTTTTTTACTTAAAATAAAGCTTTTTTATTGAAAATGTTGTGCTTATTTAAGCGCTTATTCTTAATTTTTTTGTGCTTATAAATCCGCTCTCTAATCATAACAATTAAAACAATTAATTTGCAAATCACCATAGAAGTTTTTCGTGAGTACTTAATTGATCTATCAGTAGAAAACAGTTTGGTGTTTACATCTGTGATTTTGTATAATGAAATAGCCAATTCTAGTGGTTCTTATTAGTACCTATCTGCATTCTATCTCCTTAATGGTGGTTTTTCTTAATGTTTACATGAAATATAGTAACATAAAAAAAAAATAAACAGAGCAGGTAAATTCTATACAGCAACAAACACCTGGATCAAGTACCACCATGAGTGACAACACGTGAAATCGTGAATTAAAATATGTTCAAAAACAATAAAGAAAAATCGATTATCATCATCAACTTTATCTTCAACTTGAACTTGAGTGCATATTTTACAAACGATTTTCTGACTAATTTGAACTTTAAAATGTTTAAGATAAAATGTAGGTTTCCTATATTATGAATACAATACATGCTTACAAAGCATAATAAAACAGACAAGATATAAATTTGATAAATATTTATTAAATTTTCTAAACAGATCCATTTTTTTCCTCTTTAGTACCTTCTTGAGATGCTTCATCCTCTGCGTCGTTCCACGGTTGCAAGTCAGCTGACGCAAAAATCACGTAAAAGCCGCCACAAGCAACGTAAATTCCAGCTGCTAAAAGAAATACTTTCCTCCACAGAATTGGATCTGTCTAGATTAAAGTACCACGAATTAGATGAACAACTATTTCATTATTTTATTACCTTGTCGCTGCCAAGCAGACCCACAGTCAAAGGTCCCAAAATCGAACAAATATTAGAAGTACCATTCACTATTCCCAAAATGGTACCAGCGTGGTTAGGTGCAGCGTCAATGATATTGATAAGATAACCAGAAACAACGAAAGCTGTGCACCCAACGGCCACCACTAGAAGTACTAAAGCTAGTTCTTGTTCGGCACCATCGATAAAAGCGAGCCACGTTAAGGCCAAAGCTGGCACAAAAGTACCCAATCCACCAAAAATTTTTCTCGTTGTGGTGGTACGGAATACTTGATTTATGATTAGCTTATCGGCTAGTGGAGACACCGCAATGCCTGTGAGAACGTGACCCACGTATGGAACTGCCGACAGAAGACTATTCTGGAATGGTATTTACTTAGTACCGAAAATTCAAAGCTTGGAAGGTACTCACCGATTTTATGTCAAAATTCATAATGCCGTCCATATAACTCGGCATTTCTGTGAGTAGAGTGAAAGCACCCCAACATTGGGCACAGGCGGCTATTAAAATAGCCCACATGGGTAGTGACGTCAAAATACTCCTCCATGGTGTCTGCACTTTCTATAATATTTAAGTTACACACAGAAATCACGAAATTATGAAAGTCGTACCTTCGTAGTACTATGTTTAACGGCGTTATTCTCTTGGATATACATCAACTCTTCCTTTGATATTTTTTTGTGAGAAGTAGGTGAATTTTCTGCAAATATTGCAAAAATCAAAGCCCATGCTACCCCAGCACCTCCAATCCCATAGAACGCCGTGGGCCATCCTAGTTCAGACCCAGCGATAGCCCCAGTTAGGGGCATAGCAATAGCTATACCCAAACTAGCTCCGGCATACACAACATTCGAAACTCTTGCCCTTTCGGCGATCGGTGACCACTGACTTATCAGATTGTGGATCGAAGGATATAGAAAACCTTGGTTTAAACCTTGAATCACGCGACAGATGATTACTCCTGTGGAACCAAAAGCGGCGGCCATCGGTGGTACGGCTATATTGAAAACGGATCCGATGGTCATGGTACCACACAGGAACCATTTTGGGCCGAAGTACTCGCTGAGTTGTCCTGCACCAACTTGTGGAAGGATGTAGCCCCAAAAGAACGACGACAGGATTACGTCTGTGTTGTCCCACTCCGGGTACGTCTAGAAGAGTGGGTACTGACTACGGTACTTGGGTTTGTGGTGTACTTACTGGTATGCTCGGATCGGGGGGTGTTTCTGCGGTCATTGATATAATAGCCACTGATAGGACCGTGCGCATCACGAAGCATATAATGAGAGTGATAAACATGAGTAGGAACTGGTAGTACCGAACTCCTATTACTAATTTTTGGAAAATTAGAAAGTTTGGGTATATTTTTGAAATCTTACGTGATTTGGGTTGATCTTCGGAGATCGGGATTTTGAGCTTGACGTCTGACATGGTCCGGAAAATGGAATGACTGAAATAAATAAAACTGATCTTTCTTCTTTATATATCTGTCGTTCATATGTCTGAGTAGGTTTCACGTATGTTTATTTAATCATTGCTAAAACCGCCAATTTGCATTTAAAATTGTGATTTATTGGTGATTGCTTTATTGATCATGCTAAAACTTTACACTTTGTTTATGTACATGGTAAGAATGGAAAATGAAAAATTCCGTTAATAAGTGGTTCAGCAATATCTGCATTTCAGATCTTTTCCTGCAACCAATTAGTTATCACTCAGCAGTTCTGATTGTTCTCATTGCGTAATCGATACTACTTTCGATGTCTTCAAGACGTAAGTAGGTACCCGAAATAATTATAAAAACGTATTAGCAAAAATTTATTAACAAATAAAAAATATTTAGTACAGATCTATTCACTTTTTCTCAGTTTTCTCTTGTTCTTTCTCTAGATCATTCCACGGCTGGACCTCCGCAGAAGTGAAAATCACATAGAAAAGTCCGCATGCTATATAAATTCCAGCAGAAAGTAGAAAAACCTTCCTCCACAAAATCGGGTCCGACTAAAATCGCCTTGAAAACATCACTATTTCTTTGTACAAACTTTACCTTATCGCTTCCAAGAAGTCCGACTGTTAAGGGTGCCAAAAGTGAGAATATATTGTTAATCCCATTGATTAAACCGAAAAGAGTACCAGCGTGGTTCGGAGTGAGATCTATAGTGTTGAGCATATAACCTGACTGCTGGAACGCGGCAGTACCAACTGCAATAATCAACAACGCGTTGACCAAATTGGGTTCAAAGTCCTCCAAGAACGCTAAATATGTTAAAGCAGCAGCTGGTAGTACCGACGCTAGAGTATTGGAAATTTTTCGTGCAACGGTAATACTGATGGTATTGTTAGCAACGAGAGTATCAAAGAGTGGCGACACTACTAGTCCCGTTAGAAACATAGCTACGTAGGGTAGAGCAGATAACTGACTATTCTAAAAACAACAACAAATTTTAAATGTAAATACGACAAACAAGTACTCACCGAATTGATATCAAAATGCATAATGCTGTCCATATAACTGGGTATCTCAGTGAGAAGAGTAAAACCTCCCCAACACTGGGCAATCCCAGCCACAAAGACCGCCCATACTGGTACAGACCTCAAAATGGACAACCACGGTGTTGGTATTTTCTACAACAATACACTCACTTTTTGCTATCATAAACCCAAAATCAAAACCTTCTTGGTTTCAGTAATAGAAGTGCTGCTCTCAATGTACTCTCTTTCTTCCGGTGATATTCTTTTGTGTTGAGAGGGTGAATTTTCGGCAAATATCGCAAAAATTATGGCCCAAGCAATCCCGATGCTTCCGCAGACGTAAAACGACAGAGGCCAACCACTTTTCGAACCACATATAGCCCCAGTTAATGGCATAGAAATCGCAATGCCTACATTAGCAGCCCCATACACAAAATTCGAAATTCGAGATCTCTCAAAAAGCGGTGTCCATCGACTGAGGAGATTGCTAATGCAAGGGTATAGGAAGCCTTGGGTTAAGCCTTGGATCATTCTGCAAATCATCACTCCGACGGAACCAAAAGTGGCCGCCATTGGTGGTATGACTATGTGGAAGAGGGAGCCGATGGTCATGGTACCAACGAGGAACCACTTGGGTCCGAAGTATTCACTGAGTTGGCCGGCACCGAGTTGGGTTAGTATGTACCCCCAGAAAAATGAGGACAAGATGATATCTGTGTCATCCCATTCTGGGTAAGTCTAAAATGGCAATCGGGATTTATATATTAAAGGTGGTAGGTTTTTTCAACTGGTACTCACTGGTATGCTCGGATCCGGGGGATTTTTTTCAGTCATCGAGATAATAGCGACTGACGGAGTAGTACGTATTGCGAAGGCCACTAAAAGAGTGAAGAACAACAAAACACTCTGAAAGTGTCTAACACCGAAAAAGTTTCCTGAAACAGTACCACCGTAATTTTAATGAATCTACAAACGTGATTTCGTTACTTGGTGTAGGTGTTTGTTCATTCTCAGAAATATTAACTTTAACTTCGGCCATCGTCAAAGGTCACAATTCTTTTTCAACTGATAACTTTGAGCTAACTAGTTTACTTATATAAGCTGACGTGATTTCTATCTAGATAATCGTCATTAAATTGCCATTTTTGCATTAAACTTTATTGTATTTGCTTTTATCATACAGGTACTTGTGTAAAATATGATGAACAAGATTAACTCATTACGAACATAACAACGATCACGTTGTGCTGCATAACGGTGAACAAAACGACGAGCAGCCAATTTTTTTGAGCGAATTTTCGAAGCTGTAAGTACCGCAACTGCAAAAGCTTGGACATCCAAAATATCTTCGTTTGCAAAGACACGAGTTCTCGAAATAATTCCTTGGTTTGCAAAGCCAAGAATTGTCGAAGTTGTATGAACCAGTGGAGCAACCCAGTCTTCTTTTGGTACTATTCCAGTACGACTTGACTCGGCTTTTCCAACGCGACCACAACTTCTGGCAAAACTGCTTAATTTTGGCCGCTAAAAAGTTACTTTAATGTTCAGTCACAACCTTCAAGGGTAGTACCTGTTCCAAGTTCTTCTGGATCTACTTCGTTCCACGGCTGTTTTTCAGTTGAAGCAAAAACGCAGTAAAATATTCCACAAACTGTGTAAATAGACGCACTTATAAGGAAAACGTCCCTCCATAAAGTAGGATCAGCCTGAAAGAACAACGACTTGAGAAATAATAAATTTAGTGTAAGTCGTACCTTATCTCGTCCAAGAAAACCCACAGTCAGTGGCCCCAAAACCGAATAAATCGTGGTGTAAGAACTAACCAATGACAGCATCACCGCAGCATGGTTAGGAGCCAGATCTGTGGCGTTCACCACGTAGCCAGACTGCGCGAAAACAGAAGTACCAACCGCCACAACCAAAAGCGCCACAGCTGATATTCGTTCCGATCGATCGATAAAAGCAAGGGCTAGCAGAAACACAGCCGGTATAAAGCACCCCAACGAGTTAAAAATTTTTCTTTTGGTGGTAGTACTAGTTATCTTTTTGCTAATAATGATGTCAGTTATTGGTATCGCGATTAAACTTACACCAAGTTGGGCGACGTAGGGTAAACTCGACACTTCACCGTCCTGAAACACACACAATGATTATTTTTATCTAATAAAACAAATTTGGTGGTACTTTGGTGATGTCATAATCCATAAAGTTATGCATATAGGATGGGATTTGTGTAAGCATGGTGTGTTGACCCCAACAATGAGCACTACCGGCCATTAAAATCGCCCATACTGGTACGGATTTGACAATAGCGACCCATGGTGTCGGGGGTGCTCGGGTCATATTTTGAGCAGGAACTCTGATACTACTTTGCTCGATGTATTGTTTCTCTTCTTCTGATATCCGACTATGAGTGGAAGGAGAGTGTTCAGAAAAGAAAGCAAAGATGATGGCCCAAACTATCCCAGCACCACCCATCGTGGAAAATACTAAAGGCCACCCTGTCTCACTTCCAGCCAATAAACCGGCCAAGGGCATACAAATCGCTGTTCCTAAAGGAGCGCATCCATAGATAAGATTTAAAACTCGGGTTCTTTCACACGCAGGGGTCCACACATTCACCAGACTGTTGATACAAGGGTAGAGGAATCCTTGACATAGTCCTTGGGCTACCCGACAAGCTATCACACCGGATGAACCAAAAACGTCTGACATTGCAGGAATAACGATGTTGAAAACTGATCCTATGAACATTGTTGTCAAAAGAAGCCATTTCGCACCGATTAGTTGGGTGAGCTTGGCGCCAGTACTGTGTGGAATAAAGTACGCCCAAAAGAACGCCGATAGTACTGTGTCAGGGTTAGTCCAGTCTACGTGTTTCTAAAAATGTTGAATGACTTTGTGGGTTGTGGGGTGAGGTGGTACTTACGGGAGCGTCAGCGTCTGTGGAAGTGGTACCTGTCATAGGTACTATAGCTACTGATAGGGAGCTATAAATCCCGAAAAACACGACGAACGTGAGTACAAATAGTAAATATTGATAATGTCGGATACCCACTATCTTGCCTACAATGTTTATGTTTGGATTATTGCTGATATTGGTGTATATTTATACCTACTTGGAGCAGGTACTTCCCCTGGGTGTTCTGGTTGAGGGAGACTGACTTCCACGTCGGTCATTTTGATTTTTTCGTTAAAAACTGAGAAAAGGTGTTGTTGTTTTGGCGCATCTTATTATCTAATGCACTGATTAAAGTATCATGACTGTCAAGATTAGTGGGATTAATCGACCAATAGCATTTTTGGAAATTAATCAATACAAGGTTAAGGAACTGAGAAAAATTCAGTGTCTACGGTTATGATTTTCTTAGAATGGATATGGTATGATCCAAAAGAAAATGTGTTTTAGCACAGCTATTTTACTGTGTAATAATTATTACAAAAATTGGGGTTGATTATAATCAACCCCAATTTTTTATTTATAAGTAGAGAGCGGATTTTATGAAATTTGCATATTCGTTATTTTTTGCATATAAGTCTTGATATTTAATATGTGAACGAATCATGCTAATTAAAAATGAATACAAGCATAAAAAAAATAGCATATTTGCATATATTTGCCTTCTGCTGCATATTTCACGTAACAGGTGCATATTTTGCATTTTTATCAATTTTTGTGCTAATTTGAAAAAAAAATGATTATCATTCTATCGGCATTTATCTAGAAAGACGAAATTTCATATTGCAAATATTGTCCTGAGCTTCAAATAACTAGGGAAGGTTTGGGTTTTATGGTAGTTTGGAGAAACCACTGGGTGTTAAGCCATCCTTCCAGGTAAATTTCGCCCTAATTACTTTTGGAAATACGTTCATTCCCAATATTTTTGTTCGTTACTTCAGTGTGTTAATGGTATGTCTTATGGTGGTCGAAGGAACGTTATCCTATTAATTATTTTTCATCGTGAGTTTACATTAAAAGCATTTAAAGCGATACAGGTATGTTAATATGTCGAAGATAACTCAAAATAATTTAAGGATTAAACTTTTTCCTGAACTTATTCTTCAAGAAGGAACTGTGTTTTGTCGCGCCTGCTTTAAACCGCTAAGTATTTTTATATCTGTGGACGTAGTACTCAGTTTTTCTATTTACAAATACATACTTTAGAATCACCGGAAAAACTTTTGCTTAGAATATTTCGAAAAATATTTAAAACTAAATTGTTACCAAAATAGTAATTACTACTTTGGTACCTCGACGAATACTTGAATTATAAATTTTAATGTTTGTCACTTATGTAAATCTGCGAATTGTTATATATTTTTAATCTGTTTCTGTTTGACGTGTACCTACTAAACATTCTGTTAATGTGCTAATAAATTTACTTTACTTTACTTTACTATTTTTTAATTTGTTCTATTTATATTTATTTTTTAGTATAAAAATATATATTATCATTAAAAATGTGATTTATGTGTTAGTGAGATGCAATTAAACACCTTGCAATGTGATTTATGTATTTTTTGCAATAAAACGTAAGCTCGGGAAACCTGCTTTTGTAATTTGTAAATAAATTTAGTTTGCTTATTAAGCTTTTTTTTAATTTTTGGAGCATATGCAACTGCATATCTCTGCATATATTAAGAAAGTTACTGCATATTTGCATAAATTTGGTGCATATCATATGATCATATTTCCCAAAATTTTGCTGCATATTTTCCGCTCTCTATTTATAAGGATTATCATAAAAAATAAAATTTGCAGATTCAGGTTTTTTTTTTCTACAAAACTGGATTTTTTGGACTAATTTTCAATAAAATTTCAGGGACCCTTAATGTTTGGTTTTTAAGACTTTGAAAGAATCGTCGAAATTGCAGATATTTTTTTCAGATTTTTTTAATCCTCGGAGGACCCTTGTGTTTATTTTGTTTTTGAGAGAATTTTAGAGGGTCTTTGTGTTTTTTTCTTAAAGAACGTGAAGCAATCTCCAGAACCCCCGCTGTTCTGCTTAGGAATGAGTTTGGAAGAATCTTGATCGCACCTAGTACTAAAAAAATATAAAAGAATCTTGTGGTTCCATGGACTTTTCTAAAACTGTGAAGGAATCTTCGGAACTGAAGAATCTTTGAATTTTTTTAATAATGTGAAATAATCTTCGCCCCTCTTGTTTCATTTTTGAGAAAACAAAGACTTTGAGATCTTGCCTTTTCTTTTTGAAAGATTTTTTAAGAATCTTGGCGGTCCCTAGTGCTTTTCTTTTTTGCTTATAAATGAGTTTGGAAGAGTCCTGAGCGCCCCTAATGTTCTATTAAATAATGTAAAAGAATCTTCGAAACTGGGAGTGCTTTATTTTCGACGATGTCCTCGAGAATTCTTAAGATTCTTTAAGAATAGATGCTAAAGACCCTTAAGATTTTTTTGTGTGTTTCAGGACGGTGAAGTGTCGAGTTTTCCATACGTTACTAAACTTGGTGTAAGTTTAATCGCGATACCAATAGCTGACATCATTATTAGCAAAAAGATAACTAGTACTACCACCAAAAGAAACATTTTTAACTCGTTGGGGTGCTTTATACCGGCTGTGTTTCTGGTAGCCCTTGCTTTTATCGATCGATCGGAACGAATATCAGCTGTCGCGCTTTTGGTTGTGGGTACTTCTGTTTTCGCGCAGTCTGGTTACGAGGTAAATGCCACAGATCTGGCTCCTGACCATGCTGTGGTGATGCTGTCATTGGTTAGTTCTTACACCACGATTTATTCGGTTTTGGGGCCACTGACTGTGGGTTTTCTTGGAAGAGATAAGGTACGACTTACACGAAATTTATTATTTCTCAAGTCGTTGTTCTTTCAGACTGATTCTACTTTATGGAGGCACGTTTTCCTTATAAGTGCTTCTATTTATACAGCTTGTGGAATATTTTACTGCGTTTTTGCTTCAACTGAAAAACAGCCGTGGAACGAAGTGGATCCAGAAGAACTTGGAACAGGTACTACCCTTGAAGGTTGTGACTTAACATTAAAGTAACTTTTTAGCGGCCAAAATGAAGCAGTTTTGCCAGAAGTGGTGGTTGCGTTGGAAAAACCGAGTCAAGTCTTTAATAATAATAATAATAATAATAATAATATCTTTATTTCCAACAGGTATATATGTACCCAATTACAGGAAATATAATAAGTAGCGGTCACATTAAAGAGCGTATTTGCATAAAAAGAACATACTTATTAACTATATAATATAAATTGAAAAATTAACCAATACTGCACCTAAAATACACAAAAATTAACTAAATTACTTTACATTAAATTCCTACTACATCTATGATACATTTAGAAATTATTTGAAGAGGATCCGCATTAATGTCGCATTGTCTAGAAATTAAATTAAATTTGTTGCATATGTTTTGTACAGGAGCCTTATACAAAATATTCGTCCTACAAGTAGATACATAAAATGTTAAAGAGCATCTTGAATTTACTCTCGGAACAATGAAAAAGATTTTACCTACAAGATATGACGAATCAATTTTTCCCTTGAGTAAACAGAACAAAAATTTTATTGATACTATAAATCGTCTAGTCTCCAATGAATTTAGAAGAAAGCGATCTAGTAACAGACTATGGTCACAGTTTCGTGGTGGGTAATTGCCATCGGCAATAAAAACTAAAAATTTGAGGCATTTTCGCTGCACTTTTTCAAGAATATGGATATAAGTAATGTATAGAGGATCCCATATTAAGGAGGCGTATTCTAGTTTCGACCTTATACATGCAATATACAACATACGTAATGTCTCAATATTACGAAACTCACGACAGTTCCGATAAATGAAACCATAGATTTTTAATGATTTGGAGGCTATATCTAAGATATGTTCCTTAAAAGAGAGTTTGCTATCGAATAATACTCCTAGATCTCTAATTTTATCCACTCTTGATATTGTAACACCATCTATTATGTAATCATATTCAATAATCCTCTTCTTCCTACTATATGAAACCATAGAACATTTATCCTTATTTAAATGCAGGCGATTTCTTCCACACCATTTCATAACTGATTCGAGGTTATTTTTTAAAAACTGACAGTCATTTATTGATTTGATTTCGGTGAAGAGTTTAAGGTCATCCGCGAAAAGAATTGTTACATGAAATTTCAGCAGTAATATCATTTATAAATAATAAAAAAAGTAGCGGTCCTAAGTTTGACCCTTGGGGAATGCCGGAAGTCGGAGTGTAAAAATCTGAGATAAAGTTTCGATACCTAACATACTGTTTTCTGTTCAGCAAGTACGACGTAAACAGTGAAACAAGGGAGTCAGAAAACCCATAAATTTTTAGCTTCGTTAGTAAAATATGATGATCCACCTGATCAAAAGCTTTCTGAAAGTCTAAATATACGGTATCAACTTGACTGCCACTGTCCATTACCTCGGCCACGAATTGATTAAAACAAGCCAAATTAGTTACTGTTGATCTTTTTCTCATAAATCCGTGCTGTTCAGAAGAAATAATATCTTTGATCATAGGATATATACGTTGACAAAGTATTGTGTCAAAGATTTTACCAAAATTGCAAATTAGAGTAATGGGTCGGTAATTTTTTACATCTTGTACATCACCTTTTTTGAAAATTGGTGTTGTGAATGATTTTTTCCATATTTCCGGGATAGTAGAATGTTTGAGAATGAGGTTGAAAAGTGTGCATAAAGGTTGCGAAAAGACTCCTGCGCAGTCTTTGAGGATAAAACTGGGGATTTCATCAAACCCTTGTGTAAATGAGTTTTTACTACTTTTTAAAGCTTTAAAAACTTCCTCTTCCGAGATGCTCTCAATGTTAATACAAAAGTTTAGTTTAAATTCATCAGATGAATAAATATCGTTGGAAATACTAGGGTCTGGCATTATATAAACATCTTTGAAGTGTGTTGCAAATGCATTAACAATAGATTGAGGGTTGGAGTATTCATATTCATTAAGCTTCGTGACAGATGGAATCCTGGAATCTTTTTTTTTTGATTGAATAAATCCCCAAATCCTGCTTGGATCTCCCAAGAGAGAATTTTCTACATTCTACATACAAGTCTTATTGGAATAGTACCAAAAGAAGACTGGGTTGCTCAACTGGTTCATACAACTTCGAGAATTCTTGGCTTTGCAAACCAAGGAATTATTTCGAGAACTCGTGTCTTTGCAAACGAAGATATGTTGGATGTCCAAGCTTTTGCAGTTGTGGTTCTTACAATTTCGAAAATTCGCTCAAAAAAATTGACTGCTCGTCGTTTTGTTCACCGTTATGCAGCATAATGTGACGTTGTTGTGCTCGTAATGAGTTAATCTTGTTCATCATATTTTGCACAAGTACCTGTATGATAAAAGCAAATACAATACAGATTGGTGCAAAAATTGCAATCTAATGATAATTATATAGATAGAGGTCACTACGCTAGCTTATAAAAGTAAACTAGCTTGCTCAGCCCCGTAGCTACCGGGGGGCAAGAGGGGGCTGCGCCCCCCCTAGCAGTTGTGGTTGCCCCCCCTGGAAGACTTATACATTATAAATTTCAAATTAGTAATAAAATTTCAATATAATGCCGATTGCCGAAGCATATTGACTGGCCCCACCCGCCCCACCTTTATTTTCTTACAGGGTATATTATTTGGCAATATCACCCTACCGTTGATGTTGACCGTATAAAAAAATGAACATGTCACATTTTATTCCATAGCCTACTATGTACTTGAGAAAAGTCAAAAATATTATATGGATTTTCTAAAAATTGAGCTTTTATTGAAATGGACAAAAAATCAACAAAAAATTCTGAGATGTAGATCTCGATGAGCTTAATCAAAAAACATAAGGTCTTGATGGTCCCAGACCAAGGTTTTTCAAAAATTCGGTTTCAAAGTAGACATTTCAAAATTTCTCAAAAATTACATTTCTTTTGGCGGCTCTGGAAAAATTGTACGAATTTTCGAAAAAATAAAAACAAAAAAAAACATTTGGAGATCGATATCAATAAAAAGATTCCTTCTGCTAGTTTTCGAAAATGCGTGGGAAAAGTCAAATTTTTTTTATAGATTTTCAAAAATTGAGCTTTTGTTGAAATTGGCGAAAAATCTACAAAAAATTCTGAGATGTAGATCTCGACGAGTTTAGTCAAAAAAAAAGGTCCCAGACGAAGATTTTCCGAAATATTCGGTTTCCAAGTCGACTTTTTAAAATTTCTAAAAAATTATACTCCTGTTTCTTTTGACGATTCTAGAAAAATTTTACAAATTTTCGATCAAATAAAACTAAAAACAACATCTGAAGATTGAAATAAATAAATGAATGACTTTTGGTAATTTTTGGAAATGCTCAAGAAAAGTCAAAATTTATTTAGTTTTCAAAAACTGAGCTTTTGTTAGAGTTGACAAAAAATTCTGAAATATAGATCTCGATGAGCTTAATCGAAAAACATGTTCATGCTCCCGGAACAAAATTTACGAAATATTGGGTTTGTACCTAAAATTTCTAAAAAATCTCAAAAGTTACTTTAAAAAATCTTTATGCGATTGTGGAAAAATTCGACGAAATATCAAAAAAATATAACCAAAAATAACATCTTGAGATCGAAATCAATAAAGAGATCCCTTTTGCTAATTTTCGAAGATGCTTGGGAAAAATGTATATGGATTTTCAAAAATTGAGCTTTTGTTGAAATTAACAAAAAATCAACAAAAAATTCCGAGATGTAGATCTCGATGAGCTTAATCAAAAAACATAAGGTCTTGATGGTCCCAGACCAAGATTTTCAAAAAATTCGGTTTCAAAGTCGACATTTCAAAATTTCTCAAAAATTACATTTCTTTTGGCGGCTCTGGAAAAATTGTACAAATTTCGAGAAAATAAAACCAAAAACAACATCTGGAGATCGAAATCGATAAAGAGATCCCTTTTGCTAATTTTCGAAAACGCTTGGGAAAAGTCAAAAACATTTTATGGATTTTCAAAAATTTAGCTTTTGTTGAAGTTGACTAAAAATCCACAAAAAAATCTGAAATGTTGATCTCGACGAGCTCAATCAAAAAACACAAGGTCTAGATGGTCCCAGATCAAGATTTTCGAAACATTCGGTTTCAAAGTTCAAAAATTACATTTCGTTTGGCGATTGCTGAAAAATTTTCCGACTTTTCAACCAAATAAAACCAAAAACAACATCTGGAGATCGAAATCAATAAAGGAATCCCTTTCAGTAATTTTTGAAAATGCCTGGGAAAAGTCAAAAATTTTATATGGGTTTTCAAAAATTGAACTTTCGTAAAAGTTGACAAAAAATTCTGAAATATAGATTTCGACGAGCTTAAAAAAACATGACAGGTTCAAGGTTCCGGATCAAAATTTTCGAATACTCGGTTTCGAGCTGGAATTTTCAAAATTTCTCAAAAATTACCATATTTCTTTTGGCGATTACGGAAAAATTGTACGAATTTTCGAAAAAACAACCAAAAACAACATCTGGAGATCGAAATCAATAAAGGAATCCCTTTTGGTAATCTCGAACGTGCTTGAAAAAAGTAAAAAATTTTATACAGGTTCTCAAAAATTGCCATATTTCTTCCGTCGATTCTGGAAAAATTGTAAGAATTTTCAAAAAAATTGAATCCAAAACGATTTTTGAAAATCGAGATGAACAAAGGAGTCTCTTTTGATAATTTTTGAAAATGCTTGGGAAAAGTAAAAAATTTTATATGGGTTTTCAAAAATTGAACTTTCGTAAAAGTTGACAAAAAATTCTGAAATATAGATTTCGACGAGCTTAAAAAAACATGACAGGTTCAAGGTTCCGGATCAAAATTTTCGAATACTCGGTTTCGAACTGGTATTTTCAAAATTTCTCAAAAATTACCATATTTCTTTTGGCGATTATGGAAAAATTGTACGAATTTTCGAAAAAACAATCAAAAACAACATCTGGAGATCGAAATCAATAAAGGAATCCCTTTTGGTAATCTCGAACGTGCTTGAAAAAAGTAAAAAATTTTATACAGGTTCTCAAAAATTGCCATATTTCTTCCGTCGATT